TGACTGAATAAACAAGCAATTGGATTCGTGAATTCTGAGTAATATGTTTTAAAATGTGTGTCTGTTCTCTTTTTAGTTCCTGATGAAGTTGGAAGCCTGATATTTCCAGTTGTACAGCATACATCCATTAAAGGCCAGTGGACAAGACCAGCCAATATTAATGGGATTTTACAAGGTTGGTGTTGTACAGATCAATATCAGTTGAAAAAGCATTGTGAGTCTCCTGAAACCTTTAATGATACAGATTTCACAGATGTAGATGATGCATAGTGGATACATAGCAAAGATATTATTTTTATATTACTCAGGTTATGTGCTTACCCACATGGTAAAGAACCAAACTGAAACCCAAGTGGTGTTGAATCTTGGCCCAGATATTCTGGAGTATGAAATTGGCAATCTGACCCCAGAGACCGTGTACACTATTGAAGTAATGGCCAGGAGTAGAGTGGGACCTGGTCCAGCACGGTCAGCAGATATCAAATCTGGGGTGCCACCAGGTGAGTGTCAAGGGGAGAGGAATGTGTGGTATTTTTACCTATTAACAATATAAGAAAGTGCACTTACTGAGGGTTGATATAGAGTGTGGTGAAATAAGACATTGTCTTTAGAAAATATTTAAATCCTGTGTATAAAAGTTTTGTGGATCATTATTTGTTCACCTTTAGAAATGCTCATGTAGGAGTGTTTTGGATCCAGGTTTCATTTCATAAGTAGCTTTTTATGATTTGTGATATCATGTTAAACCTGTTGATTTTTTTTTCCAGAGCCTCCAAATGCACCAACCAATGTGGGGGTTTCCAACATACTCTCCCGATCTGCTGTAATCCAGTTTGAACCTGGATATGATGGCAAAACCTCCATAACTAAGTGGATCATAGAAGCCCAGATAAGGTCTGCTGTGGCCTCTGTGAACCCTGAAACCCCATGGAAGAATGTCTTTAATACCAGTGCACCAGATGCCAAATCATTTGTTGTCCACAACTTACGACCATACACATATTACAGACTAAGGATAATTGCTCAGAATGTTGCTGGTATAAGTGCCCCAAGTGATCCAACCCGAGCATTTCAAACCACTCAAGACAGGCCAGAGTCTGCACCTAAGAATGTTACAGTTAGGGCTGTCAATGAAACTGCTATCAGAGTGAGCTGGATGGTGAGTTTTTTTTAATAGACTAATGTTGAAAATTGTAATGAAAGCAGTGACATTAATAAGTGTTCATTTATTTAAAAAAGTGAGTTGAAGTGAGCTTGATTTAACAATAGCAGGTTTTATAGTATGGAACTATTTGGGTTATGAAAAAAATTCATTCTTTAAGAATGCAGATGTATTTAAGAAATTAAAATGCATTGTCTTGTCACATTTCATCAATGTCTACATAGAAGTGTTTATTTTTATTTGTAGCCTCTGCCAAGCAGTGAGTGGAATGGGGCACCAGAAGGATATAGGATTGAGTACAAAGCCAAGAACGCTCAAACATTTTCCATGATAGATATCAATGACATAAACATGAATAGTTACACCATTGTCGGGTTGGAAGAGTACACAGAATACCAGGGGCGTATGCAGGCCAGGAATGAAATCGATCTTGGACCCTACAGTGACCCTTTGGCCAAAGACAAAACATGGGAGTCAGGTAAGTTCTTGTTTCAAATGAGGCTGTGGAGAAAACATTTTTGGTTAGTTATATTGTTAAAAAAGAGGCTGTTACAGCAGAGACAGAGTTTAAAAATCAGTTTCCAACTTAGTAAGTAAATAACATATTTCTTGTTTATCATTATTTAAAATGATTGGTAAACAAGTTTGGTGCCAGTGACCTTTCAGTGTTCAGTAAATGCAAACTGTAATGTAGTTTCACTGTTTGTACTTAAACCTGATCATTTACATTTGATTCACATTTCAGTGCCATCTGCTGGTCCACAAAATGTCAATGCAACTGCAGTGAATTCAGTCTCCATAAGAGTTGTCTGGGGAGATGTGCCAATGAGGAGCCAAAATGGACTCATCCTGGGTTATAAGGTGACTAGTCTTATACATATAGCTAGGCTTGTTCTTGCACAAAATTTGTTTCAGTCAAACAGCTGAAACATTGCAGTAAAATCAAATTATTGAGTCAAATAGTGGTGAATTGGCAAAATATTTGACACATTTGTGGAAAAAAACATTTTGTTTTCACTAGGCAAATTATTTTCTCCTGGTTTTGCTAAATAATGAAATAAGCTTGTTTCAGCCTGGTATAGTGTGATCGAATTTTGGACCATTTTTTGACAGAGATCAGGTTGTTTTAGATTTGATCTCCTTCATCAGAATTGAATTATACTAATAGAATAAAAAAAACTGCCTAACACTTGGCTATTGAAATTAAAGGTGAAGGAACAGTTAATGAGTGCAGTATTCTAAAAATGAAATTAGAAAAAAATTACATAAAAAGAAAATGTAAAAAATTGTTGTTTCAAACAGGTCCAGTATAGTTCACAAGAAGAAGGTCTGAGTCCAGAGATGGTGACAGTGGAAGGGAACATGACCAAGCAGTGTGTCCTCACTGGCCTCAGGAAGTATGTCATGTACAAGATTCAAGTGCTGGCATACACTAGAATTGGAGATGGTGTTCTCAGTAACCCCCCCAAGTCTACACGGACGGATGAAGATGGTATGTAAAGATAACAGAATTTAAGTCTGCTGAAGATGTAGAATGTATAGATTTAGGGCAATGTTTTCTTTTTTGAAGTTGAAAATGACAACATGAGTAGTTTGGAGATAATATATGACAATTAAAAGTATTTAGATTTCTATAAAGGAAATTGCGGGAAAGATTCAACTTAAAAGTTGAGGACAGTTGTTTTATTCCCTACATCTTTGTTTCAGTACCTGGCAAGCCTACCATCATCTACTTCCCCGATGTGACCTTCTCCACGGCCAAGGTTGTCTGGGCACCACCATTAGAACCAAATGGAATCATCACTGGCTATAGGCTGATATACCAAAAGAAAGAAGGAGGTCCATCCCAGACAAACTATACAACAGCTGGTGTCAATGAATTTACTGTCTATCAGTTAGAAAGGGAAAAGTAAGTGTTTTAGAACTTTTTAAAGTGAAGTAAAAAATCTTTTTAGAAAGAAATTGTTTTCATTCTTTATAGTTTTTTAAGTGCTAAAGTTTTTTTTAAACAGTTTTTTTGTATAGCTTTGGAGACATATTAAATAGTTTCATTTTTTGCAGGACTTACATGTTCACTTTGACAGCGAAAACAAGACTGGGCTGGGGTGACTCTGAAACTGTTGAAGTCAGGACAATCAAAGATAGAAGTCAGTATACACTGTATATTTCTTAATTTTCAGGTCTCTTATGATTAAGTGTTTTATCTTATTCAGATAATTGCTTTTGAATAATGTTCTTGTCAGATTATTTGTAAGAATATGAAAATTCATGCCATTTTAAATCCTACATTGGGAGCCCAACCCTAAGTGCAGAGTCTGATTTGATTTTAATGTGTAATAATAATAATGTGTAATATAATTTATATGTGTAATAATGATAATGATAGAAGCTTATCGCCTGTGTTTGATTTCGGTTTCTAGAAAAACCAGATGCCCCCTCTACAGTCCAGGTCAGTAATTCCCAGATCAAAGCACGTGAGGTAACCATCAGCTGGCAGCCAGGCTTTGACTGGTATGGACCAATTAGAAACTTTACCATCCAGTATCAGAAAGAAGGCCAAACTTGGGTCACTGTTCCAGGACTCGTACCCCACACTAATACATCACATACTATAGGAGGGTAAGATATTTATTCTTTTATTTCATCTCAAGAAATTTGAATACTTTTTTTTTTTTCATATCAGG